TTGACACTAAAAGCATAGGAGAAAGAAAACTTTCTACAGTCTAAGAAAGATAGAAGACTTAAAAACTATACTCTGCATAGACGCTCAGCCCACATAAATGCGGATCCCGCAACCAAAAGGTTAATCATTATACCGTATTGGTGCATAAAAACTACGCACAGGCTTCGACAGGCAGGCTAGGCAGGCCAAACGAAAACGACAGGCAGGCAGGCCAGGCCCAGAAAATGAGCGACAGGCACAGGCAGGCTGTAGAAGTTTGAAGCCTGCCACGGGCAGGCCAGGCCTAGAAAAAGTAGGCCTGTTTTATGCTCTGGTACACACCTAATCATGGTTCACGTATTAAGTTTAATGATTATATGGTTTCCACGTATGTTGATTGTGCTTCATCTCGTTATCCAATTGATTTATGGAATGTTAATAATGCTCTTGTTAATAATATTCCCAGAACAAATAACCACGTGGAAGGTTATAATATTAGACTAGGTTCGTTATTTCCTGTTCATCCTCATATTTTCAGATTTAATGAACTTTTACGAGATGAACATTTGTTTCAACATCACCATGCTGAACAATCAAGATCTTATTTACCTAGACATCAAAAATTAAGTGAAGATATTAATACTAAACTTATTGGTCTACTCGATAAACATAGTAACGGTGAACTGACAAATTTAGGATTAGCACTTCATTGTGGTAAAACAGTTAAAACTAAACTAGTAAAGAAATAAGTAAAAAGAACTTAATATTTTGAATGTGCATATCATATTCTTATGTGATACAATTATGGATATTTTTTTTCTTGTTGTTCTTTCTTGTACAAGTTATTGTTGTCAATGTTAAATAAAAGTATGCATCATCAGGACTGATTATATTATAGGACCGAAATAAGCATCTATTAAAAAGGACCGAACAGAGAAGGGACTCAAGTGAGACATCATCAAATGGGACCGATTTGAGAAAGGACCGAAGTGAGAGGTCATTGATTGGGACCGAAACGCTAAGGAACTGAATTGGGGGCTATCCAATGAGAGTAACACTTGGAAAACTATTCGAGCTTATAATATTATCTAATTAGCTTATATGTCTCTCTCATTATATGTATAATCATTGAAAAACAATAGAATATATCAATAGATAAAGATGATATTCGTTGAAAAATGATTATAAAAATAAAACTGAATCTTGAAAATTTGACAAATAAATAAACAAAAAGAAAGATCTAAAATAACTTGTTGATAATCCGTTCAAATGTCTAAGGTGTGTGAAACAATTGCTTTTCTTTTTGTTTTTTTGAATATATTCGAGTTGTAATTATTCTCTTATTATCTTCAACTGTATGTCGTTAATGCATGTTCTGTATCTGTCTGATAGAACAAAAAAATTAAATTATTAAAATAAATACATTAGATGACAATCAATATGATTATATGCAGTAAAGAGATAGTTAATTTTGAAAATTATTCACTCTAATCAATATTATATTATTGTTAAACTGTATTTTTCACTTCAGGATAAACACTGACAAATAATTCTAAATAGAAATTGTTTTCTATTCAATAAATACAGTTTATTTTGACTATAATTGTCAATCATCGAGATATATGTATTTTATTAAATTTAATCCTTTTTTTTTTGTCTAATTAAGTCTTAATACAAGAATTGTCGAATAGGAATAAATCGATATACAAAAATATATAATGAGATATTTTGTTTTCTTAAGAAAGAAGTAAATTAATTGTATAGAATAATAATGTTTATTTGAATAAATTAATTTTACTTTAAATAGCAAGATGAAAAATTGAATGTCTATTTGTTTGATTTATTTTCATTATTTGATTGTTGTTAGAATTAATAAGAATTATTTTTATAGATATTATCTGTACTAGAAATATTTTCAATATGAAATAAAAAAGAATATATCTTTTATTAATATTATTTTTATTTTTATTTTTATTTTTAAATTTATTGAAACAATTTTTTTATTTATTTTAACTATGAATCATATTCATTTCCTTTTTATTAAAAAATTTATTTTTTCTCAATAATTATTTTTAAAACCTCTTATTATCTTTTTAAAATATGAGATTTGTAAAAAAAAAAAACAAATACCTTAACTATTTAATCTTATTTATTCGAACAGAATAAAAGTAAACAAGAGCACAAATAATTTATGATTGAACATAATAAAAATATTAAGGTATTGACTGTAGTATGAACAGAAAATAAATTTAATATGTTAGACAAAATGAGAATCATATATATATGAAATCGTCGTCTTGATCAAGACTCAAATAAATATTACATTATTTCAATATCGTAAACATCAATCATAACACTTTTTTTAATAAGATAATTTAATAAAAAAAGAAAAATCATATATCAACATATCAATGAATCATCAATGAAAGAAAAAAATTCGAAACGATTGAGGAAGAATATTCTAATTTAGCAAAATAATATTTATCTTTATCAATCAATTTAGTTATTTTTAAAAAATAATTTTGTAAGTGTCTTGTTTCACTCACAATTTATACAATTTACTTGTTACATATACTAAATATTTCTATTTTCAACCTACATATATACTCTTTTCTTTAATAACGGTTCTACGATATGAGTTATCATAGAAGATAATTTTTCTTTTATTATATTTATGACAATCGTCTAAGAAAATACAATAAATAAGAGTTACCGTAAAAACGTAAAAAAGACATTGTTTGTAATGCATAAGAAAGAAAGTTTAAGTTTAATGAGATATAGATGAAAGATGTTCAGTTAAAAATAACTCATTTATATGTTATAGAAATTGAATTTTGTTTTTGTTTTTGGATAATCAGATATTGTCTATATCTATCATATTTACAGATATAGATCAATAGACTTCGATAACACAGATATAGACAATATATACGAAAAAAAATAAAATTATTTAAACTAACGATGAATGACACCTATCAGCACTACTATTTACTTCATATTTTAACAAATGATTTTAATATTAATGTTGACATTATTTTATCTAAGATAAATCATAATGATAGAAATAGATATAGAGAGAATTAAACGTAGACTTCGGTTAATAAAAGGTCAACAACAATGAATATAATATAATATAATATAATATAATATAATATAATATAATATAATATAATATAATATAATATAATGTTATTATATGAAACTATTCAAAATAAATTAGAATATTTAAAAAACAAAATAATAATTATTATTTTAATTAAAATTTTGTTTGAATGATAATATTATATTTGCTTTTATTTATTTAAATAAATGATAATTATTTGATTATTTGTCTTTAAATATCTATTCTATAAATAACTAAAGTCAGCAGTTTAGTTTGTACGTTTGTTTTAGATGAAGAGGAAAAATAAAGATAAGATAAATATTTTTCCTAATAAACTCAGTATCATGACATATAAATAAATATCTTCTAGAATGATTAGTAAGGGATAAAAGGTTTGTTTAGGGTTTTTTTTTCGTTGTTTTTATTAATAAAAGAGTATCGTAGCAGCTGTTTTTTCTTTCTTGTCATATATTTTCCATCATTTACATATAAGACACTTCATAAAGAATTATTTTCCTCAATATAGAAAAAATGTCATATATCGTTGTTTATTTGCTTATTGCTGTTGGATATGTTATTGGTGCACCAATTTTAGAAGAATCTCTTCAATATCGTTTAATTAAATGTATTCCAATTGAAAATGAAACATTATCCTTGAATATTCTTGAATTATATAATATTAATGAAACATGTATTAAAGTAAATAAATCATCATCATATGGTGATGAACTTTATTTATATATAATACCAGAAAATGATACATCTATTCAAATTCAAATAACAGCTGATGATTGTTCATCACCACTTGCAAATATTTATTTAACATTATGTAATAATGAAATTGATTATAATTATACTGAAGTTATGATTACTTATACATATTCAAATATAAATTCTACTCATAAGATAGATGACAATGAAAATATCTCAACAAGTCAATCAATAGTTTCAATCGATTCAACTAATCCAACAGTTTATGAAACTTTACATTATATCAATCACGATTCCGATCAAGATGAAAATAATACAACTGATAGACCAACATCATATATCGATAATAAATATCATCAGACAGATATTTTATATGAAGATATTGATTAAAAATACAAAATCAATGATAATAATAGATATATATATATATATACTTACCTTTTAAAGTTAACCTTATTTAAGATAAAATCATGTTAATATAAACCTGCTTAATTATTCTTTCTATAAATAAATGTCTATCTTTAATAAAAATAAATTAAAAAAAATATATCACTTTTTTTTTAATTAATTATATTATTATTATTATTATTATTTATATTTCCATTAGATTTAATTAAAGCATCATTCATAAAAATATCGACATTAGGCAAAAGAAAAAATTTCAGCGAAAACTGTCAAACTATCGAGCTAATTGATGTTCGTCAATTGATTTAAGTGAATAAGCGAGTGACCAGACAATGTGAAATAGATAGAAAAAACTTAATAATCTTTATTAATCAATCATTACTTTTAGAAAATATACTCCTATTTATTCTATTTCTCTCTTAAACTTCTATCATATACAAATAATTACATTCAATTATATGAAAATCTTCACTTCGAATTTAATTAAAACAAAAATAAATATACTTAACTAATTATTCAAGTTTAATATTCTACTTTTTTATAATTTCTAACAATTGAACACGAAAATTGTCTTTCGAACTTATAATAAATAGTTAGTCAAGTGTTTTATTCATAGTTATAGTAATGAATAATATATAAATATATTTAAAATATTAAAACAAAATAAATGATATATGCTAGAAGAGTTTCAATTTTGTTCTAGGTTGACAATAATATCTATATATATAATGTTCAGTGTCTGCGTGTCTGTTTCTCTGCCGGGTCAAAGGATAAACGTCAAAAATTAAAGGTTAAAAGTTAATGCTTCTAGCATTTTCAAGAACGTTCGAAGGTTATGTGAACGTTGGCAGAAGATTCTAGAATGTTCTGGAACTTTCTACAAGTTTAGCCAAGACCTCTATGCACAGCTTGAAAGCTAAAGATTAAAGGTTAAAGGTCAAATAAGGCTATAAAGAGGAGGCCAAAGGGCTCTTTATGGGGACCCATAGACCATCAAGGGCTAACCTATGGAGGTACCCATAGCCTCTCAAGGGCTATCCTATAGGGTACCCATAGACCTCAGAAGCTATTATATGGGAGTACCCATAGGTCCTCAAGGACTATCCTAAAGGGGTACCCATAAGTCGTCAAGAGCTATTTTATGGGGGTACCCGTAGGTCCTCAAGAGCTATCATATGGGGGTCCTCATAGGTCCTCAAGGGCCATTCTATGGAGATACCCATAGGCTCTCAAGGACTATCCTATGGAGGTACCCATAGACTCCGACAGGGTTATACTGCA